GTGTGTGTGTGTGTGTGTGTGCGTCTGTTCGGGCATTTCAACTCGGCAACCAAGCAAGCTCCGGCAGTAGAATTTCGCCAGCGGTTCTCGGGCAAGTGCCAATGCAGGATCACTGCATCAACTTTCACAGACGTCTGACCCCCACGCGCGAGGAAGTGAGAGAGTTTTGGCCGGAAAATTGTTAAATCGGCACAGGAAGAACTGAGAGGCTAAATTTTGAGGGGTTTTCCTCATCCATGTAAGACTTGAAGATTTCAGATTCATCCCTCAGGTGTGTATGGTTTTCACGTACAGATCCACGAAGATTTTTGGCGGAAAGGTTGCTAACTCGGGAACCAGAAAAGTTAGACGGCTGAAATTTTGAGATGTTACCCGTTCAAGTACAAGTCAAAGGTCTCAAAGTCAACACTCAAGCACACGTGATACTCGAAATATTGCAGTGAACACACCGGAGGATTTCACGTACGGGTACGTAAAATCCTCCGGTGTGTTCACTGCAATATTTCGCAAATCCCTTCAATCCCCTCCACTAATTACACTGTATTTTATCACCTTCTCAATCTCAACTTTAATTGCTGCAGTGTAAAGGAGCAAAGTGCGTTAGAGACTGAGAACGTGACAGAAATGCAGGGCGATTCATGGCAGAGATTGAGAGGACACTCTTTTAGTTCTACCTCACACCTTTGGAGGAGAAGCACAGTTTGAAAAGACAGCTGAAATACAACTAGCTTGGTGGCAGAGGTTGAGACGGCAAATTACCTACAACAGACGATAATTTGACTCATTTGCTTAATAACTCTTACTTGAGGGATGAAACAGTGATGAAGCATTGGATTAAGAAACTAATGAGCAGGCCGCTCAAAACTGCTAATTTCATTTGCGTTACCGCGCTAAATACCTTAAAATGAGCATTTATCTCCGTATCCATGTACAAAAAAATCAGTCTATTTCCCTTTCCACTGCAGAAATGGACTTGAACTCCTCTTCTCAATAATCGGTAATCGCGCAGGAACCGAACGGCACAGTGGAATCCCAACCCTGATTCACATTTTCCTTCCAGTACCAGTTTGTTATCGAAACAATGAGTGAACTGTTGAAGGAGAGGTCTTCGAACTGGGAGAGTCGAACCATGGCACTACTGTTCTCCTAATATCTCATTTCCGTAGACGATCTTAATTAATTCACCGGAAGAAGGCGAGCAAATTCGCATAATTGCTCCTTTTTCTTTCGCTGTAGCACTACCGCTGTAAATCGAATTTTGATGGACATTTTGTTAAACTCTAGGCTGAAATGCGCCAGGTCAACCTAGGGATTTTTAAAAGCTGAAATTTCGAGGGGGTTTACCCCGTTCGCATAGAACTTAAAGATTTCAAATTCAGTCTGCAGATGTGTGTGGTTTGCATGAACGGGCCCATGAACTTTTTTGGCGGGGAAACTACTAACTTAAACAGAAAAGCCGGAAAACTGAAATCTAACGAAATCTCCCCTGTCCAAATACAGCGTGGTTGCGCAATTAACTTCCTGAATTTCAAGGATTTCACAAATTCTAGCTAATAGGATTCCAAGCTGTCTTACTACGGCGCGAAATACTGCAAAAACGCATGATCGCACGGGCCTGCCTGGTGCGCGCCGTCAATGATTTTCGCACTCTTTATATAGTGTACTCATAGTGTGAGAATGTCCTAGCAACATCACTATCACGGAATATATACATCAACAATCCTGCCCAGGATGTAGAGGATATAAGACAGCAAGCGTTTTAACTCCTTGGTACTTATGACATACGTTCTTTCAAACGGTAGCCATTGTTCTAGAAGTGCCCGGCCGAGGAAAACCGTGTTAACTCCCTTCAGTTCGCTTTCTTTTTAGTTACACAAATTGTCTATGTGCCCGAACCATCAGGGATTTTTCGCGAGTTTCATACCATACTTTAGGATTCTTCATTTCAGTTATATAAAGTTCCCGGTTTTCATTTCAGATTTCAATGTTTCTGCTATTTGTGCATAAAACGTGCATAAACAACTCATTCCAGGTAGAAGAGGGCATTAATTTTGAGTGCGAGCATCCAGATGAAGTGTGCAGTTTGTTTGTGGTTGATCAAGAAAATTCTCGACAACGTTCTGTGATTCTTGCGTCTCATTTTCAAAACAGCGTCATTTTGCATGAGCTACATGTCGGCGGTGAGGATGCAAAGCTAAAAAAATTGAGCAACCTGAATATTGAGCAAATGTGGAAACCAGTGATGGGTGCCAGGTACATTCACTTCGTTTTTGATTTCAAGCCACACACTCAAAGTTTTTCTCGCAAAAATTCATTTTTTAGCGGTCTCAGAATTTCAGAAACTGCAGTAGTGAATGTACACAGGGGACAGGTGAAACTAGTCTTTTTGAGACGCACCTTTAATTTACGGTACGAGCTGAAAATTAATAATACGCCGAACTGCCGATTTAGCCAATGATTCTCTCTTCTGAGCACGAAGAAAGGCCGTAAATAACATGAGTGCACATATCAGACCATGAAGTGATTAAAGCTGTCTCTGTTAGCTATATTATCGCTGCCCAAAATCATGCAAAAAACATTGATCAGACCGGCAACTCTAGTGCGACAGCTACTTGTTAATTATTGTTTATTTTTTAAAACAGTAGTGCGCCGTTGCAGTTGGGAAAATAATGTGTTTTTGTTATTCTGCGCGCTTGGTTGTGGATACCGTTTTCAGCCGGACGTTGCGCTCCAGTACAACAGGAACACTGGTCAAACGCAATTGATTGAGGTCTGCATTTCTTAACTGGGCATTTTGCTACTTCATCAAATGGGAACTTGGGGCGATTGACTGTGTATCGCTTACTAATAATGGCCTTACAGGGAGGCGCGATGGAAAGCATTTTTACATGCTTCTTTGGCATTTTTACATGTTATGCGAATGCAAAAACGCACATTGTTAAATAAAAGTTTTCGAGTTATTGCCTTTTAAGAGCACATAATGAATTGGTACTATTGAAGTTGATCATTCGGAGAGTGTAAGTGTGAAAAGCAGTACGAATCCCATGCGGCTGTAGCACATCTTTCTTGAAATACTTGTTACACTTTGTTGTTCAGCAACATTTTAGGAACTGAGAACTCAATACGCTAACATTTCTTGCAAGTGTATATGATCTTTCATTCTAAAGGACAAAGTATCTTGCTTATAAGGTATATTGCTCCCTAGAATGCAAAATGGTTTATACTAGCAGCGCGTCTTTCTCTACTATAAATTTTGATTAGAAATATGTGTTTCGTCAACAGCGTTAATACACAAACTAGAGCTTTATGATGCCACCAATTATAACAGCCGAAAATTTTACTTATGTTTGGAAATGAATATCTTGTGTCATTACGCCCAAGAAATTATTTTAATGAATTTACAGATCAAGGGTGAGAAGCCGCCATTTTGTTTCTCTGGCTCGCGACATACTGCGCTGTTGGCATCCGGGAAATGGATCCATGCAGCTGGTTCAGTAGCATTTCGTCAAAACAGCCGTTTCACTGGTGAAATCTGGGAGCTGGATCTCAACAACTTGCAGACATGGAAAAAACTGCCAGTGGAAATACAAGGCATGGATTCCGAGGAATTGTGTATAGCTATTAACGAGGACAGGAAGCTGTATGTCTTCGATCGGTCCAGCGATGTAATGGCTGCCGCTCTTACATGAATCATACTCTTTTGTATTAATTTTTCTTTCACAGAATTATGTAATCGTTCTCTGACAATTATACATTATTTGTGAAATAAATCATGCGTTTTTGCAGTGTTTTGTGCTGTAATAAGATCACTCGAAATTCCACTAGCTAGAAACCTCTGACATACTAATCCTCACATTTCGGGAAGTTAATTGCCCACACTATACTTGGACAGGTAACCTACCCTTGACATTTCAGATTTCCAGCTTTCTCAGTTCCCGAGTTATCCTAATTACAGCCAGAAAATCTCACGGGGCCGTACATGGCAACCACGCATAGTGTTGAGGGGAGGGAGAGGGGGGGGGCTGGATTTGACAAATTTAAGTAGTAGATGAGCTAGGAACATTGCCTAAAGGTTTCAACCTCCCAGCTTCCCTGGCTCCAGAGTTAGCCATTTTCTCGCCAAAAATTTTCACGGAGCCGTACGTGGCAACCACGCATAATGGGGGACTGAATTTAATAAATTTAGGTTGTAGATGAAATGGGAACATTCCCTGAAAATTTCAGCCTCCCAGTTTCCCTAGCTCGGAGTTATCTATTTTCCCACTGAAAATTTTCACGGGGCCTTACGTGACAATCACGCATAACGGGCGGCTAAGTTTGATAAATTTAAGTTGTAGATGAACTGGGAACATTTGCTGAAAATTTTAGCTCCCCCGCTTTCTTGGTTCCCAAGCTAGCGATTTTTGCGCCAGAAACCCTCACGGGGCCGCACGCGGGAAGCACGCATACCTGGGAGTGAATTTAAAATCTGCGAGTTCTATAATATGGACGGAGAACATAATCCCAAAATTTCAGCTTTCTAGCTTTTCTGGCCCTCAAGTTAGCAATTTTCCCACCAAAACTTTGAGGCGCTCGTACGCGGGGCCTAGATGTGCGTGAGGATTGGTACTGCGGTTCTGGGGTAGCACTTGGCCGGGAACCCCCTCGCAAAACTTTGGCACCGGAGCTTTGCTTGGGTGCCGAGTTGAAATGCCCGGGCAGACGCACACAAACACAAACACACATGCACACGCCGGTGTCGTCGCAATATGCGTTTTCGCATTTGCATATATGCAAAAACGTGTAATTAGTATATTAAGAACGGAGAAAACAGTATAAGTTCGTAAGATTCGCCCGATTAGAACCCAGGCTGGAACGCACCGGGCGGACCCGTGCGATCATCCGTTTTTGCACAGGACTTGAAGTACTCAGGTCATAAACTGCATGAATGGTTGTTGTTTTACACATACCTCTTGCGATCACTTGCATAAATCACCATAAATTTTGCATAAAGTAGATGTACAATTTCCATT